GCCTTTCGATGAGTTTCGCTGTCATTCTATTGTTCTATTTGATTTATGATTTACGCCTTCTCATGAGTATTTCGGCTATCAAATGAACTAAAATGTCTCGCAACCATAAAGCGCTCGGTCATATTATCGAACAGAAAATTCGTACAATTTTTCAAGTCCTGTTGCCAACACACCAAGTACCATATTGTTCAAAATGTTTGCAAATCGTCCGCTAGCTGGTTGTTATTCAATTAACTGCACGGACGCGCAATGGGATGAATCTTATTTGAAAAGGAATTAGCCATTAAAAATAAAAATTCACATCGTCTCCAGGAATCGACCAATTTAGAAATGGACCCCTTATGTCGAATAACATAAACGTTTCTTTCTTTAGCCTTTAACAGAGTTCCATCATTTATTTTAATAAAATAAGCGAAATCTTTTATATTCTTTCCGATAGTCAGACTCAACAGCTGCTACAGAAAAATCTTTTCTAGCATAGCTTGATAATGCATAATTTGAGACAATATTTAGAAGTCAAAACGGACAGTCATTTAGTACCGAATAAAATGAATTAAGCTGGACGTGAGCAAAATTAATGAAGAGGATGACATGGAAGAATAAAGTTAGAAATTAAGTCATTGCAGTGGCTACTGTTACAAATAAATTCATATCGATATGCCAGTGTACATTCTGCGACGCATGACAAATTACCCATCACTGCCAAAATGACTTATCAGCACAAAGAGAACAGTAGAAAATTAAGAATTTTTTCATAAAGAAAGTCTGAAGATAACCATCAGCCAGTTTACGGTTTCTCAATCTTTTAAAGGAATGCGGCAAAAATATCAGCAGAAGAATACCAGCGTTCAATTCTAAGTTCTTCACATCGCTCTGTTCAGCTAAAGGCTCACAAATGTTCACAAATCGCACCAAATCTCCGAAGTAGTTCCCCAACTGCAATTCGACGTATTCGTTGATGTAAGCATACAGCAACCTTCGACATGTCTGACTGTCCAGCTGATCTTCAGGAATCCTCTCCTTAAAAACAGATGAATAAGAAATGAACCAAGCAAGTTTCGGCGCTTCACTCACGCTCACAATTGTGCAAATCACGTCGTAGTTGTTGATGTAAAACACCAATTTATCCTTCTCCGTATTGAAGGTTTTTGCGCATTTCATCAGAAACGTATTCACCTCATTTTCTAATTGATTTAGATTCTGCTGCAACTTGGCGTCTGAAAAATTTGAGGAGATGTCGCGAAGCGCCGCATAAAACTCAGCGTATCTTCGAATGATCTAAAACGCATAATGTTAATGTTAAGTTGTTATAAAATGCATCTTCCCCTTTTGTGACTTCCTGTTTTTAAGACGCTTGTCTATTAAAGCTAGCGATTCACCTCTTCAGAGCTGATGTTATTAATCAGTCAGTGTCAAAATGTAGTTTTATGGCCATTAATACTTATGCAAATGTTGCGTAGTTTCAGGATTCCAAATTTCCTAGTACTGACCGTGTTCACTCACATAAGCAATACGTTGGCTTAGACTTCCATGCAGAACTTTGTTGCTTTTCATTCACTGAAGCGTCAGCCCAGAGTATCAAAAACAAACGACATCAAACGAAGGCCGACATCCTGTATATTCTTCCATCGCTTTCCACTCTAACTCTTAACTGTACTTGTCCAATACCTTCCAAATATCATTGCGCCGGGTACAATCACCTCATGTCATGTCAATGTTTCTGTGTTCCATTCTTCAGTAATAATTACCCCTTTGAGGTTCTATACTTAATTTCTCCTTTGCTGAAAAATATATGCTTTTGTGATTCTATTCAATCAATAAAACAAACACAAGTACAATTTTTGGATGTTTTTGGAATGAACGAAAATGCTCAAACTGAGAACCAGAACAGCAAACAAAATAAATCATCATAACACTGTTCTTGTGAAAATTTCCCTGATGATGACTTTTGTGCTGGAAGCCGAAACCTCGGAATAAAGTAAAGGAATATCTTACGTCACGCCTAAGATCATCCGCACTGAAAGCCAGTGAAGATAAATATACTGTTTCATTCGCTTGGTCTGTTTGATACTGCTGCCAGAAAACGAGCTGAGAACAATGAAAGAGTATAAGAGGAATGTTGGGCATTCCTTGAAGATCTTTCCAGTGTTGAACATAACTCCCGCACAGAAGAATCAGCCTCGATTTTAAAGAAATAATGACCATTCTGATCATTTAATTTAATCCATAAATAAGCAATCAAAACAGATTAACATTCACATGACTATCGTTCCTTTCGTCTCTGAAGAATTCTTAAACCTTAAAGAAAGAAAACATGTCTTCTTCTGAGTGGTCATTTTCATAGGTCCAGTACTTTATAAGAGATCTGAATATCGCCAATGTATCAGATAATGCTGTTTCTGCGTAAATGTAACAATTCTCACTATACTTATACTAAAAATGATACATGACTGCTTTCTGCGGGAGATGATATAATCCTTTGGTAAGTCACAAACGGGAAGACCACGCATAAAATGTTCTTTAATTAGAGACATCTGACGTTTCGGAACAAACTCGATCCGTCTTCAGAGTACGTTAACACGGGCATGTAATATTTCTCCTTATATTACTGGTGCCGTGCTTGTTTACTGGTTTTGACTGGCGTCTGATGTTTACGGTCCATGTGTCACTGACGTCTGTTCCAAGGTCACGGTTGATATAGTTGGTTGCTCTGATAAACAACGCT